ATCTACCATATTAATTTTTTGGTTCCATAATAGTTGGAAGAATATTTGTCACGTTTCGCGTTTGCCCGCAAACGTATACCATTTGTTTGTTTATTTGTTCGCTTGGGACAAATTTTTTTATATTTTTTTGTGACAATACAGAAGGAAAAACATTGGTTGTTTCTTTAATTGTTGTTTATTTATTTTGTGCGACACGTTGAGCGTGACGCGTTGGAAGAAGAGATACAGTTGAAAAATATATTATTATACATGATAGTTCAATAGTTACATATGTATAATGATTTTGTTGATTTTAATTATATGGAATATAGTAATTGTTACGAATATATATATATATATATATCGTGCGATTGTAAATCGATTGTGCAAAAAGTGTGTTCTAAGAGAATAAGTGTGACACACACGCCTGTGGCTTTTTTATGTATTACGTACGTTTCAGACCAAATTTTAATATTAACTGTTACGAACTATGAATATCTACCTGTTAGCAAAACTATGGATATTCGCATGATCAAACATGCGCACCTATAAATGAATGCAGTTAATGCGTTTTGTATGGATTTAAAAATTATATGTGAAGTGTGTTAGACGAGTGGAGGTAATTAAAAATTATGGTAAACCGTTGATCGTTGCTAAGCAGTATATTGACGTTGGTTTGTTTACATAACAAAAATTGAAGAGATGAAATTTATGTCGGGTTTTTTAATGACAAGATTTGTTTGATATGTGCAAAAATAAATAGATAAATAAATTGACAGACGTTTTATAAACAGTGTGATATTTAATAATCCGTTAGATGAAATAAATTGATATATTGTAAATAATAAAAATACATAGAAAAAACAAAAATACGAGTTATTGCTGCATTCGATACCTATCCTACAACTCCTTTACTTATGTGCTCAATTTTCATTGAATCACAGTAAGATTTTTGATAAGTCAACAACCTATAGGTAAATGTAAAAAAAATATGTCTCATCAAATACCATATCAATGAAAATGGATTTTTTTAGTGCATACCGACAGCAGATTGCGTGCCGATATTACTTACGATCGATAATGCACAAATTTGATACCTACAGAGGACACCGGCCAAGTTGCAGAAACCTGTGTTATCATGAACAGATAATCATTGTTATCTGCGTGTATAACGACAGTCGGTAACTGACCAGCTTTACCAACAACAAAAACCATGTGTAATGCACTGATAGATGGCGCCACATTCGGCGGAGCGTACGCCCACTGAAAAACTCAAGCACCCACGAATAAATTATGATATTTAATTATGATACTCTTACTCTCAAATATCCCCACTGTATACTTTTTCGCTGATTTATCATCACAAAAACTTGACGTCTCACTCAAGCGTCAAATAAAAATCTTAGCTCCCGACCTTGGAGTATCCAGTAATGAGAAAAAAAAAAAATCTAACAACCGTCTTCTGACCTTGACCGCTACGAAAAGCGTGAGAATTTCCTCACATCAGCGAAGAAACGACCGCCGCATTGTTCTGCGCAACGCGACAGTTAAAAAAAAAAAAAAAAAAAAACGAAGAGGCGCTCGCTGAAAACTCAATCTTCGCGATTCGAGAAGCATAAAATTATTGAAAAAGAAACTGCCACCCGTGCGAGCCACACACGAGATTTGTCAAGTCTTTACACGAGCGCATACTAATCTTCGAGTCTTCTACGCGCCTGTGGCTGATCGAGGTCCACTTATACATCCTTTTAAATTACACGAATGCATAGATAGAAAATATGGAAACATAAGCTTCAACCAGCCACGGGCTCATACAAAAGGATTTTCAAACTAAAAGGTGTTCTATGGCAATTTTGCTCCTTTGCTGCTTATCGCCGAGATCTTTGCGCTTTCGTATTTTGAAAATATTATTTTCAAAGTATATCATGTACACGTTACCTTATGGATATATAGATAACACGTTCAAAATTAATTGACGCACGTGATTTCTCAATAATTAGCCTGTCGTACCTTCGTATCGGCAAAGGCAGCGGAGGCTTCGATTTCTCTTCAAACCCTCTGTGACGATAAATGCGTTTCGGCCGATAGCTCTAATTTTATCTTAATGGATCAATTACCAAACGCTGTGCACAGTGAAAATATCTTTGTAAAGGCTCGGTGTGCACAGTTTTACGGTTGTACTTTACGCTTTTACGAAATCATCTACTTAGGTATTGTTTCCACAAAACCGATCGAAGTATCGGTATTTTCGTAAACGATTTTCACGAAAACTAGGGAAATTTCAGTGGAAATGAGCATCGAATGGACGCGTTATTACTCCTTATCACGGTTTTGCCTTTCTCCAAACGAGCAAACAACTCGAGCATCGGACAAACACCGTTTAGAGGGGAAAAAAAAAAAAATCAGCTCGTCCGGAATTTCCATGAGTCAAAGCCGGGTAAAACCTCTCGGCCGCGATAGTGGCAAGAGAAATGTTACCTTAATACCGGGACTGAAGTACCAATAAACAAATACAGGAAAAAATCGAGGCCTCTTTCTCCAAGTACATCAATATCTGTGCTATCGCACCTCGGATTTGCATGAACCGAGATGCCCCCTCGCTATCGGGGACACGGGCGTGTCTCTGTATACACGAGGTGCATATTATACGCACGATGCATGTGTATACACAAGGCGCTACTTCCGCCGATAAGATCGCAAGAAGCGATACAAGCCTCTCCATTTTTATCCGTCGAAGGTCGTCGTCGTACATACTGTATAAACCCTTTTTCTCTCTCCCTAAAACACTCCACTGCTTGGACAATATGGTTAAACTCAAATTTTTTTTTACAACATCAACAACAGCCATGGACACCCATAGTCACATAATATTATTGTCATGACGCACTCGTTTGTTGACTATAGCGCCGAGGATCGGCAAAGTTGCCGGTGCATCTCGTTCGGGACGAAATGCTCTTATACTTTCCGGCAAACTCCGATTCATTTGGGAAAAAAGTGGACTAGAGCCGTATACAGCTCGTCTCAATAAAAATAGGTGTAAGTATATGCGCAGCGATTATCGCGCTATACAACCAACTCTCATATACTTAATTGTCAAGGTTGTACATGGTCGAGTTGCTATGATACACACACACACCTGCGCGTAAAAACACGTGTGTGGCACAAATACGCAAAAGTGAAAGTGCACGTACTTAATTGTTTTTCTGATGTAAAACAAAACAAAAGAACAGTATTAAATTAAGGTTGGCTTATCAAGCTATTATTGCGACTGTATTACGGTAAAAGACCAACGCGTGCGGAGTGCTGATGTACTTATATATACTTACTTGGAGAAAAAAGTAAAACAAAATGATGAGCTTTGCGTGCGTCGCGATATAATACACGCTCGCGTGGATCCGCTGGTCACGTCAATAAGTATACATACGTAAATGAATAACGTATGTGCACAAGAGGAAAGAGAAGTGAATGAAAAATATGAAAACCATCAGCGGAGCGAGAGACCAGAGAGTATAGATGGAGAAACAAAGTACATGGTGGGCCATTTTACCCGGGGCGAAAAAGATATTTAACGCAACATCATCAGCTCCGTTAGATAATGGATAAGTTTGGCTCGGGGGGTTTGGGAAATTCGAGTGTGAAACGTTGCGCCTCGGGAAAAATGGAAGAGAAAAAAAAAAGCATCCACCGCGCGAAACTTCAATATTATATCCTACAACCTGTCGACGAGGGAGTATAGTTTTGACGAATAAACACTCCCGAGGTGTGCGTACAATATACCTATATATACACGTACATGGACGGGAAAACAAAACAAAATAATTAGCGAGCGACTCTCGAGGAAAGAGACCGTTGCGTGTAGTAACATTCCGCTCGATTGATAACTGGTTTGTTTTGTCAAGGCTAAGGTCGGCGGGCGGGCGTGAAAATAAACACGGAGATGAAGGAGGAGGTAAACACTCTGGGATGAAGAAAAAGAGCGCAAGTATTACGGGGTTATCGGTGTAATGTTTGCATAATTGCAAAAGAACAGAGAAAAGAGGTACACCCTGCAAAACAATAAGCCAAAGATATAAGTAAGCGCTCTCACTTCGTTTTCCCTTATTCAATAAGTAAGTGTGTGTGTGTGTGTGCACAATTTGCCCACTGTTGACTGTACGGCGAATTAGCGCACATGGATACGTGTGCATATAGGTGTATATAATATAGTGGCGGGGGAAAAACCCACGTCGGGTTAAAGACACACATATATGTGCATATACACCCACACGGTGCAGAAACACATACACCCACGAGAGGAACAGCGGCGTATCAAGCGAAATAACGAGCAAAAAGCCTCCCGCGCGACGCGACAGCAAGTGGGTGCCGCCGCGAAGCTATATATTTTATCATCGTACATTTTGCAGAACAGCTCCGCGGTGGAGCTGCACAAGAGGAGTACGTGCGTAGTGGAGTTTCAAACTCTCCCTCCTCCGGACGGTCGAGAGAGAGAAAGAGAGAGTTTGAGAGTAGGGAAACACGCGTGCGCTAAGGAGCGACCGACCAACGGGCTTGGATTGGAGCCGACCATGTCGACACCGCCAGCCAATCGGAGCGCAGTTGTCTGACGCCAGCGGCTATTTATAGCAGCGCACTGAGTCACGAGTTATAAGACAGTACGAGGTAGTCTCTCGAGAAGCAGACACGCTCGAGTAACCGCTTTGGCCGCATCGTTGTTACAGCAACGGCATAGTCAGTCAGTAGATAGAGCCGAAGCCGGACGGACCGGAGCATTTTCGGTATACCCGTATACCAAACAGCTGTTTGTGCGTGCGTTGCTTAGTGCGTTGTTTAGTGTTGGTCGCACACTTTGCTAGTTCGAGACGCCTGATCGCTTATCAATCAACAACTCCGACGTAGTTGCTACACACAACAAGACATAATAAAATATACATATATACCGTGCGCGTGTTTATTCCCTCTGGAGTTTGGTTAAACGTACAATGTTCTGTAATCCAGTGCTGCAGTGAGCTCCGGCTCGGTGGCAGTAGAGTGCGTTACTTGGTTGTTTTGCGGCACGCGTGCAGTGGTGGGCGTGACTGTCGGTACACGTAGACCCGCGGGTGCTTCTCCACAGAGGTACCATTTGACACCTCGTTTCTAGTTTTGGACACACGGACTCTCGGTGCAGTTCTCGGACGACCGGTCTCGCGGAGCATCATCGAGTGCGACACGTGTTACGTAACGTGTCTACCCCCCCCCCCTATTTCCGTGTGCCGTGTGCGTGTAAGTGTAATACACAACACAACAGAGTAGCGGTGCTTACACCTATAGTAGACTCCGAACTCCGAACAAGAAAAACAACCGTCAGCAGGAGAAGAGCGGCGGAATAGCGAGTGGTAAACAAACGGAGCTGAGGGGCAAAGGCCGATCAGTCACACCGATGGTGCGCAACTTGACGATGGAGCCGACGTTCTACGAGGACCAGGCGGGCACGCTGTACTGCCCACCAGTTGGTCGGATGATGGTCAACGGGCCGATGAGCCACGGTGCCCTGGGCAGCATAAAGCGCTCGAACCTTACGCTCGACCTCAACAGCGCACGGCAGGGCTTGTCGAAGAGGCCATCGAAACTCGGCTCCGCTCTGACAACGCCCTCGTCACTACCGAGTCTCACGCCGCTCCTTGGCTCGCCGGACCAGCTTCTGAAGCTCGCCACACCCGAGTTCGAGAGGCTGCTCGTCGTCCAGCAGCAACAACAACAACAACAACAACACCACCACCACCACCACCACCAACAGAATCAGGAGAGTTGCATCATCACGACGGTGGCCCCGACCACGACGCCCTCGGGTGGCCTGCACACCCCGACCTCGCAGATCTACTTCGAGAAGGCAGTTACCGAGGAACAGGAGAATTACGCCCTGGGTTTCGTCGAGGCGCTCAACGAGCTCCATCACTCCGACAGCTCGCAAGAGCCGGGCAGCCTGCATGGGGCCACGTACACGACTCTCGAGCCCCCGGGTAGCGTGCAGAGCAACGAGTCATCCTCGATGCTCAGCAGCCAGGGCCTGGTGCAGATAAAGGACGAGCCCCACACGGTCCCGAGCGTCTCAAGCTCGCCGCCCATGTCGCCGATAAACATGGAGTCCCAGGAAAGGATCAAGCTCGAGCGAAAGCGACAGAGGAACCGCGTGGCCGCTTCAAAGTGCCGAAGGCGCAAGCTAGAGAGGATCTCGAGGCTCGAGGACAAGGTCAAGTTGCTCAAGGGTGAGAACAGCGATCTCAGTCAGGTGGCCAGTCGGTTGCGCGACCACGTGTTCAAGCTCAAGGAACAGGTCATCGAGCACGTGAACGCCGGCTGTCAGATCCAAGCGTTGCCGTGCACCTTTTGAGCCTCGTTGTGTTTCGACTCTACGCGCGTGAGTTTTTATTGTATAAGTATCGTGTACCGCTGGTGCTCGTTGTACAAAAGGACGTCCAAGGACCGGTTGCGCCTTTACCATTGCCTTTTGGTGTTTTGTGCAACGAACGAATTGTAAATATACTTGATGGTTAATCGTATACCACGGTACGCCGTAGGTTCAAAGTGCTATAAAACCGTGGTAATTTTTTAATGGTTTTTTTCACTCGATATATTTTTGTGCGTCACTTCCATTATTCACTTCGAAGCCGATGACATTATAAAGTAACTAATTATCGATAGCGTTGTAAGAAAAAGACTTTTAAAAGTAATTATTGATATAACGTAACGTGTTTTTTCTATTTCGTTTTTTAAACGTATAACGAAGCGATGTATGAATTTTTTTCTTCATTTATTTATTTATTTCTTTTTTTTTTTTAATTCATTCATATTCAAGAAAGTCAATAATAATGCGTATATGATCATGCATATACACAAATGCTTTGTTGCGACTTTCTGGGCAAGCAATTCACTGCACAGTGTGCCTTTTCAAGAAAGAAAAAAAAAATTTCAGACAAACGATCCGGCGCCGCGGACACTCGATGCCTCGCCATAGTCGCGCCGATCGGCTTATAATCGTTCCCTGTATACTTTCCTCCCCTTATTGTCCTTTTCGCTGCATGAAAATAATGTATACCATCTACGGCCACCACTGTAAACCCAAACCCCCCGTCCCCTACCCTAAGCTACTTTTCTCGTTTTTGTATTTTGTAAAAACGTTTGTAAAAAGTCAATTTTTTATAACATGTATACGCTTCTAACATTATTTTTGTAAAACAAAAACGCGCGCCCAAAAAATGCATTGTCACAATCAATAGAGATAATGATCGAAAGAAAAATAAAAGAAAAATGTAAAAAAAAAAAAAAAATGACAATCGGCAATTTATATCTCACGTTGCTAAGATTTTTTATATAAGTCAATCCAGTGGAACTTGCAACACATTCGAACTGAAAGCTTATTTTTCATGGCTTTTGGATGTTGCGGGTTATACCCTGTGCGACAGAAAAATTGTAAATAACATCATACTCAAAATAGTCACGAATACTATTTTTTTTTTCTCGTAGGATCGCGTTAGAGGCTGGACCATAAGTAAGATTGCAAGTTTCAACAGAATGACACATGATAGACGTAACGAAAATTGTACAAAGTTTTTCGTGCGCTTGTAAATTTTTTAGTCTTATTTTGTATCGACGAAAATGAAAGATAAAAAAAAAAAAAAAAAAAAAAAAAAAAAAAAAAAAAAAAAAAAAAAAAAAAAAAAAAAA